GGAATGCGTGCCAAGGGTACTTTTAAAGAAGAGGCTGCTGGGTTCTGCCCTGTGGTATCAAACACTACCTACCTGGTGCTCACGCTCGGTTGGCGTTGCACCCTCTCACGTGTCATCAAGATTGCTTTCATGTCTCCGCTTCGTTTTGCAATCCCAAGCTTCCTCTGTTCTGTCTAGAGCGAATCTGTGCAGTCCTTGACTTCCCCCCTCTCTGCTTCGTCGACCTGTCACACCTACAAGAAATCTGATCACCACCCTCCTGATTCTTGAGATCCAATGGTTGCCAATGCAGTGGCACTGCATCCAGAACGACATCTATGGCGCAGGGGGGAAGGGATGGGGAAGTGATGGAGTTCGTCATTGAAGATAATAAAGAGGGGGCGACCGCTGAGCATAACTTTACTGGTGTGATTGAGAGCTATGGTTAAAGCCCTGGAGGAGGAGGAGGAGGAGGAGGAGGTTACTCTACCACGTTGCCAATCTTAGCCACGTGTCAACTGTCCCCAGCGAGCCGTCCACGTCTCCTTTCTCTTCCGTTGTTTCCAGGTGTTATTGGGGCTGTGAAGTTTTGTTCGGTGCTGTCTGATGAATGTCCTGGAGGAGGAGGAGGAGGAGGAGGAGCTTACTCTACCACGTTGCCAATTTTAGACACGTGTCAACTGTGCTCGGAGAGGTGTACACCTCTCATTCTCTTCCGTTGTTCTGGAGGTGTTATTTGGGCTGTCAAAGTTTTGTTCGGGTCTGTCTGTACAGATCACTCCGTTACTTTCCACGCGAGACTGTGAAGCTCTCTCTCTGAGCCTGGCTACTAACATGCAATAACACTACCGTCTTCACCCGTATAGAACGCCCGGTCGTTATAGCTGTGTTTAGTCCAACTTTCAGGCTTATATACAGTGATAATAACAGGGCGTTCTATTCGGGCAAAGACGGCAGACAGTCACGTGAATGTGGACAAGAAAAGAGAAGTCCATCCATGTAGCAGCAAACCCACGTGCAGCAACAGTAGAACTCCATGCCTGCGGCTGCATCTTCTCAGAAACAAACAGCCTGTGGGAATGCATCCAGTCCAGAGTAGACAGCCTCTGAGCCTCCTCGCGAGGGGTCTATGGCAAAGAAAGTGACTGTGGAAAAAGAAAAAAGGAGAAGGGGAGGAGAAGGGAGAGAGATAATCAATACTTATTACCTGTCTGTAAATGTCAATCGAATCAAAGAAGGAAAGGAAGGAGGAAAAAAGAAAGGGTGAACTAGTCCATCCCCTCAAACAGAAGTGATGCCATTGCATAAAGCTGGGTCAAGCGGGAAAGAAGCTACTCATCAAATTCATCCAGTGGTACGGAAACACCAAGATATACATTCCCGAAGTGGGGGGGGGAAGGGGGGCAGGGGCGGGGGCAGGGGAAACCATTCCCAAAGACAAAGGAAGGGCCTGCTACTTTTCTGGAAGTGTCCACATGTCCGTTTGCTGAACAGACACTGATGCCGTAAAGAGACTGAGAAGAAAGCACTCACCTGCATGCCCATTCATTCTGCAACCTGCGCTGAGCATGGGATGTTGGCAGATGTGTAGTGACCTCACCACTGTCATCACCAACGGCCATCCTCTTGTCATTTCTCACCTCATTAAACCACCCGTCCATCCGGGTCTCTTTCCACCGATGGGGATTTTTGCTGCGTTAAGTCCCACCAGACTGGCACGGTGGGTGATTTGCCTGGAGACGCCAGCCTTTTCTCTGGTAGGCTGAGTCCCCAAGTACGCAGCACCTGGAGACGCCAGCCTTTCCTCTGGTAGGCTGAGTGCCCCAAATTTGACACCAAGTTAAACCACCAGTACTTTGCCCAGCTATCGGCCGTGGAAAAAAATAGAGTAGGCTTGTTAACGGGCACGACTTTAGGAAGTACTGGTGGTTTCACCATTGCGTTGCAACAAAAAAATCTGGGAAACAGACTGGTGTTTTAATAAGTCCATGATATAAAACGCTCATGCAACATACAAAGCACTGCTGTCCTAAGCACCCTGGCAAAACAGCAGGAGAAGAACATGTCCTCCATAAAACGGCCCAGAGGGGAATCTGCTTGCAAGGGCTTCATGGATACAGCAAGCCAGGTATGAGTGCTCTGCTAAATAAGAGAGGCCCTAAGGACCCCATGGAACACCATGAGCAGTCTCCTGCCAGAAGCACCCTGGCCCACAACCCATGTGCTCCAAACAATGACGGGGTGTGGGAATTACTCGCACAGTTGGCACTCTTTGAGTCATCCCACAGGCACTTCAGCCGGCAACACTTGGCTCGAAGGACTTCCATACAAGAATACCATCCGCCAAGTGAAGAAGAAGAAGAATCAAGTTTGACACCATCCCTCC